CACATGGGACGAGTACAAAAATGGATTTGGGAAACTAATAGGAGAGTTCTGGCTTGGCAATGACAAGATTCACTTGCTGACAAAGGCGAAAAACATGTCATTGCGAATTGAAATTGAAGATTTCGAAGGGATCAGAGAATACGCCCAATATGACCACTTCTACATAGCCAATGAGAGCCAACAATACCGCCTGTCCATAGATGGTTACTCTGGTACAGCTGGCAATGCCATGCAATTTAGCAAAAAGTACAACCATGACCAGAAGTTCTTCACCACTCCGGACAGAGACAATGACCAGTATCCCTCAGGAAACTGTGGAGCCTATTACAGCTCAGGCTGGTGGTTTGATGCATGCATGTCTGCAAACTTAAATGGGAAATATTATCAATCAAAGTACAAAGGGGTACGTAATGGAATATTTTGGGGTACATGGCACAACATTACAATGGAATATTACCCAACTAATGAAAGACAATCATTCAGGACTGTTAGAATGATGATAAGACCTACAAACTATGCAAACTAATACGAATAACAAACTGAACTAAATTAAGCTATCTTTTGAATCATAAAGTAACTGCTGCAATAATATCAGATTTCAGTGTGGTGTCAGAAAATTGTTTTAGTAAATATGTTGTTTATTAAGCTGTAAACATTAGCATTGATATACAAAACTGAGCACTTTTGTGATGCTTCGAAAATACTGTAGTGCATAAACAATAAAAACATGCTTTTACAGATTTAGCTGTTATTTTGTATATTGTGTATTTTTTTTTTTTTTAAGTCTGGGGCAGTCCATGACTGTTTACATGGATATATGCTCTTTTTTTCTCAATGCAAACATTTTACGTTGAATAAAAGCATCTGTAATTTTGTTTGTTTTATCATTATTAAATTTTTTTAATGGAAACTAAGTGCTATTTTCCATCATTATAAGTCAAAAAGGGGTTTCAAGCATTTTTTTCTTTTAAATAAAAATGTGTCCTATTTAATAGTTTAAAAAAAACACTATTAGACATTTTTACAGAAGATACCTACAAAAATGTCATTGAGTTAAACAAAAAAATCGTTACAGGCATATTTAGATCAAGAATGATTCAATGACATTAAAATAATTTTAAATATTCACACTTAACCAATATTCTTCTAACCAATGGGTTTTACTTTTGCCTATTTGTCAAGACGTTTTTAATACATAAAATATATACTCTGGTCAGTTTTTTAAAGGTCAGAATAAGCCAGATTAAGTTTGCGGTTTCAGTTTTACATAAATATGTGTTATGATAATGAGGATGGAACTTGCTTTATGTATGTATAGATTTTCTTTTTTAGACACTATAATTGCATTTATATTATAGGTGGGCACAGATTCATTTTTTTTATTGAGATTAATCTCACTGTAATCTTGGAATTCATCTAGATTAATCTAAGTTAAAATGGCTCATTTGAATTCTGCCGAAGGCATTCAGAATGTGTGTTACCCAAAAAATGACTCGATAGAAGTCTTTGAGAATGGGTTTCCCAAGCCAGGTGGCGCATTAGACCAGGGGCTTAACTGATCTACTATGATAATTGGTAATGAAAATAAATTATGTTCAAAAGATGTACTTGTATTTACTGTTTTTTTTTAGTTAAACATGAATTTCGAACTGAAGGCCTACATAATCTCCAAAACAGCAAACTTTAATCACCTTAATCCAACAAAAGTCATAATTGAACTAAACAGAAATGGAATTAAGACATGTGGAGTTTGCATATATTAGTGGCGTTATTGAAGTAAACACTGCAATAAAACTATTACCGTCATGTAGGCCATATTTTACCACAAGATCCACACAGGTGGCTGTCAGTAAAAGACCACACACACACACGCACGCACGCACGCGCACAGTGAAATGCAGTTTTTTTTTTTTTTCATTTGGCGTGGGTTATTAACTTCCATAACACTCCTTACTACTTATTTATTTGTGTCTAATACCCCAGTTTGTCACAGGAGCATGAATGAAATATTCATGAGTTAAAGTGAAATTGCCAAACTCCAAAATTACAGGAAACTCTTACATGAAAGCACTAAGTCAAACATAGTCAGTAGTGTCTTCAAAGCAAGTGGAAGATTCAGAAGGACACTTTTTTTTTTTTTGTCAGACAGCTCACCGGTCAGGTATACATCTGCGCTAAAATATCAAGGTGAAAGTCATCATAGCCTGCGTAGAATAGACCCAGCTCCCAACTCAACTTCGAGAATAGATTAACGATGATTTTTGCGTTAACGCCGATAACGGCCCACCACTAATATATATATATATATATATATATATATATATATATATATAAATAAATGTTGTATATGTAAAATTCATGCAGACACTGAAATGGGGTACTGACCCATAGGTGCAAACCCCAACAAATGCATCTTTTACAGTAGAACCTTTTTAAAAGTTTAATTTTTAATTTCAGTAGAAATAAATGGGAATAATAACTTGCTTCAAGTTACCTTCGGCTAACAGAATTTATTAAATGTCAACAATGAAAGAAAACAACAGCACAGATATTTAAGTATGTACTGATTTTCTACACGTGATTACAGCTTACATTATGGGTTATGCTTCGCAGCTGAAACAAGTCATTTAAAAAGAATGTTCGGGCCACAAATAATCATCATCTGTAGTGAAAACTGATTGAGAGGTACATCCTCATTACTATTCCAGTTGGTATTTTAACACCACATTAGTATCGCAAGCATAACTATGGCCAAAGCACTTTTGATTTTGTGTTTTGTCTCAACGGATAACTTTTCTTTTTGTATTCTTTACAATATATTAAGATTTTACACATCATAACATTCCTTCAAAAAAATGTTTTGAGTTTTTGTATTATTCGTGATCTGCTTAAAGTTATTTGCTAATTGTAATAATTTGCAAGTTTTCAAATGCATTTCAAAGACTGCTTACAATTGTAAATGACTCATTCATGACTATTCAAAATAAAAGTTTGCATTTACACGTGTGCTGTGTATATTATTGTAGCATTAGTAAGTCTCAATAAAGTTTTTTGAGAGCATAGGGATTGAGCCAATTTTAGCTTGTTCTCATTTAATTTTGTTAAATACAAACATACATAAAATGCAACAGACTACAAAACAAAAATATTTACATATATTTTCATATCTAAGCTAAAATATTTTACATACAACCATATACAAGCATGTGCTCATTTATATATTTATAACCTGTGTTGGGGTAACACATTAAAAGTAACATGAGTTACGTAAAAATGCTACTTTTCTAAGTAACGGGTAAAGTAACACATTACTTTAAAAATAAGTAATAATATTTGAGTTACTTTTTAGATTAATTAATACACTTTTAACAAATAGTTTACTGAAGTAAAATTAGTGTAACCATGTAGAATTACACTTAATGGAAAAATTAGCTCAATGTGGAAACAGACAAAAACCATAATGGCAGAGCCTTACATTTCTGTGATGAAAGTTCTCATTATTTTGAACACATGGAAGAAAAGAGGATTATAGTCTCAATGGACAGTGATTTTGAAGACAAAAATACAAAAGGTAGAAAACACATAGCTTTAACTTTCATTAATCTGTATATACAGTATTTATAGCATCAAGATGTTCTCAGAAGGGATCATTATTAGTTTTTTTTTAAATAATTTTTTAAAGGTAAATGAAGGTCATAGGTAGTTTTTAGTGTTGTTAAATGCAGAAGTCCTCTATTTAAAAAAGCCTGCAAGTTCTGAAAGAGATCAAGTCTCAGGCAGGTATGAAGAAGTAACTCAAAAGTAACGCAACACATTACTTTCCATAAAAAGTAATGAAACTAGATACATTTTTTGGGGGAGTAACTCAATATTGTTATGTATTACTTTCAAAGGTAACTTTCCCCAACACTGTTCAAAACAAATATGCACAGCACAAACATGTATTATGTAAATACAATTTTTGATTAATGTTTTGACTGCATTAATTTCTAAATTTGCATCTGTTGAGCCCTGATGAATTGACAATTTCTCCACATAAAGCCATGGTCACACTGCACTTTTCTCCCCATAGACTTTCATTCACACGCAAGGAAATGCAGAAGACCAAAAACAAAAGCTCATGTGACAAGTTTCGAAGTTTCTTGCATTACAAAGTTCAAGCTTGGTTCAAGCTCTGACCTGTGAATTGACCTCTCAAGTACACAAATGTAAAAATATGCAGCATTTGCTCATTTTTATAATGTCAAATCATCTTGTCACAATAATCAATATATCATATATAACTTATTGCAAAAAAATATTTATTGCCCACACATAACAACCAAATTCTAGCAGCATTTTAGCTGATTGTGCAACATCTTTATCTCTATTGGAGGTATCAGTATGGTTAAAAAAAAACACTACAACATTTACAATAAGTTACTTAAGCATATTTTCATGTGGGTTAATGACAACTGAAAATAAATCTGGTAGCAAATAATCGCAGCCTTTGTTACTTTTTACCTTGCCACTTTTGTTCAAATTTCAAGATTTCACATTAGATATTGCTTGATACTAATAGCAGGTTTGGCATGCTGTCCTGGGAGAGAACCCAGAGCTAGGAGATAACTGAGCCCAGGGTTCCCGCCTGGTCATTAAGTATATAAGAAGATGGGGGTAGATGAAGTGGATGGGGGATTCTTCAAAAACAAAAGGGAAGTAAGATAAAATGGGCTAGTTTATTGTAGGTCTGGATTAATCTGATTGTTTTATCGATAATTGCTAATAAGAGAGCATCAATGTGATCAAAATGGTAATAATATTGTTTATCGCAATATATTTTGGTGCGATATATCATACAACAAAAAATGAATATCGCGACAGGCCAAACCGTATGACAGATTTTCACATGCGTGAACTCTGCTGTGACCACGGCTTAACTCTAGAGATATCGGAAATTTATGATACCTGTGCACTTTACTGAACATAAAAAATAAATATGCATCTTTGAATCAAGAAGATGTTGTTGTTTATTTTATTATTATTATCATTCATTCATTTTCTTGTTAATACTATTAATATTTACACACTCTGTACAAGACGAAAACAAATATTGTAAACATATTATGCAAGTTCTGCAACGCAAAACATAAATATACGATAAAGAGAGATTTGTAAATATATACACCATCATTCTAGAACATACGTTTCTCCTGCTAATAAACCATGTCTTGTTACAGTACTATTTAGGACAAAAAACAAACACAAACAGTGTGTTTGCACGCAGCACATCAACTGTCTTTTTTGATTGATCTGTGTTTAACCTAAACGCAACAAATATTGAGCTCAACAATCAGTCATTTCTGTCACCTGAGTGTAAACTCACCACTGAGCCAAAAATTGTAAACCTCCCTGCCTCCCTGTCAACATCAAAACGCAGAATATTCAGCTTCACTTCCTGTGCCTGAAAGAAACAAGCAGTTCCTGTTAAAGAGTTTTACACAGCTGTACATTCTTGTCCATTATATATCCCCTTTTTCATGAATAAAAACTACTTTCAAGATGATTTAACTCCTGAAAAATACAGGCTTCCAGATAATACCGTTCCCGAGTTCAGTCTCTTCTGAAGTGAAAAACGTTGAATCCCAGTTCCACCATAGCACCGATGAGCAAACCCCATAAAGGAATGCACACCGAGCTCACCATGATGTCCATTAGGCTTTCTAATTTGGCACAGAGCGTCAGACAGAAGGCCAGTTTTAGCAGCATGGCGATAAGGTACCAAACACGCTTCTTCAAGTTCTCCGCTCCATTGCGAGGGTCGAAGCCTGGTTTGCATCGACCGGCCATTTTGACAATGAGCATGAGGAGCAGGATCAGATCGAAGGTCCAGATGGGAAGGAAAATGAGGAACCAGCTCCAGTCGATCTTCCGGTCCAACTTGAGGACCAGCATGATGAGGAAGATGAGGGTGAAGATCCATGTCAGGAGGACTCTCTGTGCAAGGGACATGTTCATTTGAAATGCTGGCCGAAGGGCACAGCAATGAGCTGATCTGAGGAGAGACACAGCAGATGTTATTATGAGTGTTGTGTGACAGAGAGTTCATTTTATTTGATCTTTTAGGATCATCATGCTGCTGTTTAATAAGAAAAGATGTTAAAATACATAAATTTAAGACACTATTAGTACCGATTAAAATCAAGTGAGCTTACGATTATAAATATCTAAACAAATGAACACAAATATCTGTTAATGGTAGGGCTGCAAGATTGACATTGAGATACTTTGTTTTGCTGCAATATATATTGATATAAAAATATTTTTATCAGATGATATGAATAGCTACATTTGGGAAGATTTTATTAGACAGACTGGGGTGATCAAGTCTTTGTTATGCAGTGCATCTACATAAAATTTAATAAATCGCAAGGATACATAAGTACAAGAAAAAAGTTAAACAGTGGTGACCTGGGGAGTCAAACAATATTTAAATATAGAAACTGAACAATCAAACTTGGAATAACACAGTCATCATTGTGTAAATAATTTTATAAAATAATATTTAATAATATGTTTTAATCTTTAATAAAGAATCTAATACTGCAATGTGACACACATTGCAAAATCAATGCTCAAACGAGCAATGGGTTAATGGGTTTAGAAATAAAAGATATTTGTTCTTGTTCAAATATATTTTTATCTAACAATTGCATACATGTTTGTTTCATTTGTTAAATAACGGTTGTTAACCTTAGAGACATATAAAATGGTTTACACTTGAAGAAACACTCTTACAGGCGCCGCGGTGGCGCAGTAGGTAGTGCTGTCGCCTCACAGCAACAAGGTCACTGGTTCGAGGCTCAGCTGAGTCAGTAGGCATTTCTGTGTGGAGTTTGCATGTTCTTCCTGCGTTCGCGTGGGTTTTCTCCGGGTACTCTGGTTTCCCCCACAGTCCAAAGACATGCGGTTCAGGTGAATTGGGTATGTTAAATTGTCCGTAGTGTATGTGTGTGTGAATGAGAGTGCACGGATGTTTCCCAGAGATGGGTTGCAGCTGAAAGGGCATGATATGCTGGATAAGTTGGTGGTTCATTCCAATGTGGCGAATAAAGGAACTTAGTCTCTTACATTTGAACATAATAAATATTTTGTTAAAATAATAACTATGATAAAAAAGTTTAACTAATAATAATGTTATTAAATTGGTGACAGAGAAAAGATTAATAACATTACTTATTTATTACTAATGTTTATTTATATAATAAATAAAATATAATGAATAAAATTTATTTTATTATTAACTTCTATATATTTTTAAATAAATTCATCAATTTAATACTGTATGCTCCACGTTTAATACAATCTAAATCAGTAAAGCCTGTCACACTTGAAAATTGCAACAATGTTTCATGCTAATCGTTTTTTTGTGAAGATTTTATTTTACAAAGTGAAAACTGCTGAATTTTATTTACTTGTAAATAAATTCAAACAATTTTTCTAAGACAGTTCATTTCCATAAAACATTGCTTAGCATGAAAATTTATTGTGACACTTGATTTTCTCATCTTAACACAGTAATAACACATTTTACTATTATAATTTTGAGAAGTTTCATAATGAAGTAAATTTACTCTTACTGTTACATTTAATTCAACGTGTTACTTGCCGTTTCTACACCAATTTTCATTTCGGTGTGGCTCGTTGTCAAGCGTTTCTTCAGATGTAAACCGTTTTAGTTGCTTCTAAGGTGGTTTTAACAAACTATCAACCAATATCTGACATATAAAAGAAACACACATGCTGTCTAACCAATAAACAACATTTAGTTTATTTATACGTGATTTATATTGACTGTCCCATCCTGACAGATTTTCAAAATCTAGCTGTCTACTACTAGCACACAACTAGCATAGACAAACCAGACTGATTTATGCGTGTATAAAAGCAAACCGGCGGAAAAGTGAAGGCTTACCGATGATGAAGACACCCTGGCTGGACTTCTTGTTAGAGAAATGTAAGTTTAAAGCCGATATTCCTTTCCAGAACTGTGTGTGTTTGAGCGCTGCTACACACCAGACGCTTCAAAACAACTTCTCACGAAGGACCAAGTTGGCGTGTACGCAGCGCTACCTGCCGGTCTGGATGACACGTATTAACAGTTTAAAGGGTCAGTTCACCCACAAATGAAGATGGTTAATAACTTTTTCACATCGTTCCAGTTCCCTGAGAAATTATTTCGTTATTTTAAATGATATCCGAGAGCTCTCTTCCTCCATAAAGAGCAACGGTTGATGTTTAAGATCCAGACAGGGAGCCAAAAACATTGTCAAAATTTTTACTGGTTCATAGATTCAGTGATATCAGCGGTTTAACTGTAGTCATACAAAGCTCCAAGAACACAGCGCCTAAAAAAAATAATAAAATAAACAGTAAAAAAAACAACTGTGGTGACCAAAGAAATTGATTATTTGTTCATCTTAAGGGTGGTTTACCTCTGCGTCGAGTGATCGCCGTGGCCCATGGCACATGCTTTGCATGTAACCGTGCATTTATACTTTGTGCTGTTTGCTAGGCCGGATTAACCAATGGGCATTATGGGCACAGGCCTAGGGGCTTGTGCGCACTTGGGGCCCCTGTGAGCGGGGGGAAAAGCCGATTTTGGAGTGTCTATTTAGGCTAAATGCAAATAGCGCACCTCGTTGGAATAAGCTAATAGAGTGATTCCCGCCCCTCACTGTTTCATTAACAGAGACTGGATCGGAGAGGTGTTATCCAAATTATATATATATATATATATATATATATATATATATATATATATATATATATATATATATATATATGATTTGGATAACATATATGTAAAAAAAAATTTATGTTATAGTTTAAACATCTTGTGGAATAACACTGACTGTCAATCAAAAAAATAAAAACAATTAAAAAACATTAAAACTCATTTTATTGTTATTTTCTGGGGGGAAAAGCCTCAAAATTAAAATGTCTCTTGTTTGAAATAATTTGTTAGAAAATGTTATCACACATATAAAAGCAAAAAACTTAATTACCAAAACTCCTGCCTATTAATTCTAGACAAACTGTTTTTAAATATGTATAACATTTAATGGCTTTTCTGTGTTTAATAGAAGCTGTAATAACCTTTTAATTCTTTATGTGCTTTTGGAAATGGATCTTCGCAATCCCCAATTAGATTAAATAATTGAACATTTTACTCTCATTTCGTGCATGCTTAATATCCAAATGAAGTGAATAGTTAACTTATCACTAAAAGCACCCATAAAGTCTTTATACAGCCTCAAGATGGCACTGTTTCACTATTTTAAGTTGTTGAACAGCATATATGGACTGTGCAAACTGTTCCTCAGTTACTTTAACAAGATGCAACTCCTCTAAAAACCTAAATATAAAGTGTTGTATCCTTAAATAACAGGAATGGAATATTGCTTTAAATTCAACCAAAATCTCCTTTTCTAAAAATCTTAAATGTGTCAATTTATTGTTAATTCTCTTAAAATTGAAAATTCTGTGAGCATTTACCCACCATTGATTTGTCCAATTTGACATGTTGAATTAAAAAGAAGATATTCTGAAGAATATTGGGAAGCAGTAACCACTGACAATAGTAAGAAAAACAAATACCATTAAAGTCAATGGTTACAGGTTTCCAACATTCTTACAGGTATGTTTTACGTTAAATAGTATGAAAAAAGCTTTTTTTGGATGAACTATCACTTTAAAGCAAACTCTGCGGGTGATAAAACAGTTTCACCATACTTCATTACATTAACAATTATTGTTTGCAACCTTTTTGAAATGTTATGTCTTAATATGCAATTTTTGCATTATTCATAAAAATAGGTTATCCACCATGCACATATTTCTAGCATCTGATCACTGGTTGAAGTCAGGGTCACCTATTATAGTAAAATGGCAAATCTTTTACCAGAAGAGATTTTGGGAATTTCATTTTGCCAGAGTTTTCTTTTCGTTGTTGTTAAAAATATAAATATTGTAAATATTCATAATACAAATATGAATAAAACTGCAGATTTATGGCACACTTAAAAAACAACATTTTTTTTTTGTATTTTGTGATTTATGTATTAGTGTTTTATTCATTTATGTATGCTTTTGAATTGCATTATGGGAATTGTGTCTTTCCTCTGGCAACCTTTGATGTTTTATAGGCTATTTGCACAGCTTGTTTTTTTTTAGCCAACAGTAAACCTCCGGTGAAAGGTTAATGTGACTAATCTAGATTTTTTAAGGTTCCTTTTATAGCAACGACATCATGATGTAATTAAGATACAATCAGTTAAATAAACTTAAGCATTTATTTAGCTCTTCAGGCATAAAACGAGATGAAAGACTGTGTGAACTCTAGCGCCATCAGTGGCAGCCGGCTAGTGCAGAAACTCCATTAAAAATAAAGGGGTAAAATAAGTTTTTATAATTTAAAGAGAGGCAGGGAAAATTTGAATTTACTGCAGTGCTTCTTCTCTGATCTGAGACCCACTTTGTATTGTATATCAATCAGGCAGTGAAAATTACTAATTTTTAAAGAAAACAGATCTTAAACGTGGCGATTTTGTATTGAGAAGACTGGCTGTCTGAAAATTAAATGTCTGTGTGCATGTACTCTATTGGCATTGACAATAGTTTGAAGTGATGCAATTTTTTTTTACTGGTGATGTAAATATATGGTACAAAGATACAGTAATAAACTGCCTGGTAAAATACTCTCTCTGTAATTTTACAGACTTATTTCTTTATATTATTTCTTATACAATATGATGTTTAGAACTACTTGATAAAAGTCCCTTTGATAAACTGCACAAATGAATTTTCAACAAAGCAGGGATCAATGTCCCATAATTAAATGTAATCAAATGTAACTGAAACATTTAATTAATGGACATTTTTTACAATAGACCATTTGATACCGTAAATATCTGGTAAATTACTGAAAAACTTTACTGGTAAATTCACAAAAGCGCTGTTCACACAGACAATAATGTTCCTGCATATTTCCGAAAAAGACCATTCACATTCCAAAATAATGGTGAATTCTGACATCATCAACCAGAAATGAGCTCAAAATGGCTGCACTTGTATTGGTAAACATAAGAGGGGTCTTTTGTTGATGGTTTCACTTTTATTTAAAGCTTTAGCATTCATACAGCTTCTTTGTCCTAGAGGCATCCAAAGGCAGAAGCGCGAACCGCAACTAAATGTTTACACATTTGACGACATTACAAATTCTGAGGAGGGGGAAGTATTGTGAACAACTTCAATGAAAATATATGGAGAAACACTTTTGCATGTCGAGATGTACATAATATGTGTGTGTGCTGGCGCTCACCGGCTTCTTCACATGCACACGCATCAAACAACTGAAGCATAGCTTGAAGGTAAACAAACAGCGTTTTATCATAAGCATTTTATCGATAATTTTTAACACAGTTGGCATTAAAAGGAAACGTAGAAGCATTATCTGACTAACATCTTTTAGCTAAACAAGTCTGAAAAAATATTCAAAGGTTATTATTTTCCTAAACAGCGTGTGTGAATGGGTCTGAGTGTTCTTATTGGCTGGAGTAGACGTCTTAGGTCAGCGTGTGGTAATCGTTAAATCGATCTTTCTGGGATTTTCCTTCTGCGTTCACACAGCGCAGCATTCCAGCAAATTACCAGTAATGTGACTACTCCTTTCCAGAAAATTGCCAGAACGAATTTACCAGTATTTTCAAAAAGGGCCTCTTCACACATACAGACCTTTACAGACACTACTGGCAATTTTCCGGAAAGGTCTGTATGTGTTAAAGGGGCAAATGAAAAGTTTATTTACGAATTTATTTTTTCTCAAGGAAAAACTAATATATAGAAGTCAATAGCTAGGTTTTCAGCATTTTTTCTAAATATCTCCTGTTGTGGTCAACAGAAGAAAATCAAACAGGTTTAAAACAGGTGAATTTTTTATAACATTTTCAGTATTGTGTGAAATATCTAACACAATCTCACGGCAATTCGTAACTTTTTAATTTATATGAATTCGTACGATCTAATTCGTACAATTTAGTACGATTTACTTTTCCCCCAATGACAGTTGGGGTTAGGGGTGGGGTTAGGTGCCACGCCTCCTTTTTAAAATCGTATCATTTTGTACGACTGAAATCATACGAATTCGTACGAATTAGCCACTAAACTGGCAAAACGTAAAATACTTACGTTTTCTCGTGAGATCAGGCTGAAATATCCCTTTAATAGTTCATTTCCGAAAAATGGATGCTAAAAACAGTGTTGCTATGCTACAAACAAAGCTCTTTCATATTCCTCTCCAGTTAATGCCACAGCTGCGATAACCATCAAAAAATCTCCTAATTTATGAAACATTATAATAATCAGCAATTTTCTGAAATGCTGTTCAGGGTCCAGACATGAAGGTGCGGGCATTTCAGTACACAATAAGCCACATGCGTGCTGAATCAGTTAATGAGCTTATTACCCTTTGCAAATGTCCTGTTGTGGCTGCCATTACTGAAGCCTTAAGGGGACGTCAGCACAAAAGCCAGGTAATAATAATACAGCGGCTTCTTTTCTCCGTGTTGCTTATTTGTGAAAACACACAAGTGCGAGTCGCCTTGAGGCCTGAGCTGAGCTGAGGACGCGCTTTTAATTGGGTCAGTCTGATTCTGCTGCCTGTTGCCATCATGGGCCAATAGAGAGCGAAAAAAAAGCCTTTTTCTGGCTTTTTAATGGGACGCACACAGTGTTTCAGATGACACTCATGCTGGAAAAGTCTGCTACTCTATTATGAAGATTTACCATCATCCTAGGACAGGGAACAGAGTTTTTATGGGGTATTTACATATGGGAGTTTATGAAGCTGCAGGGTACAATATTGAAAATTGCCCACAACCATAATTAGATCAATCTGACTCAACTATAAGAGCAGCACGGTAGCTCAGTGGTTAGCACTGTTGCCACACAGCAAGAAGGTTACTGGTTCGAGTCCCAGCTGGGCCAGTTGGTGTTTCTGTGTGGAGTTTGCACTGAGATAGTTCTTCCCGTGCTGTTGCGACCCCTGAAAAATAAGGTACTAAGCTA